TTGTATAAATAAGAAAATTTATTTTTGTGATTTGTATAAAAAGGTTCAACTATTCACCGAACAAATCAGCATAAAAATGAAACACATGTTTATTATTTTTTAAGTATGCACAATTGATGCTAATTTTTGTATCCCGAAAGAAATCAGTTTTTTGTTATTTACAATTCTTGCAAAAATTAAATTTCTTGCAGCTTTTAAATTTGTATCGGACTTAAAGAAGCTTTGAATTATTTTTTTGTGTATATCAGATTCTAATAACATTTTTTTAAGTTTAAGCTATTTATGTTTTATAAATAAGGTCTACATTTTTTGACCCAATTGTAGATACAGATACACTAAAAAATAGGAATTTTAGTTTTTTATCACTTATAATTAAACGACACCAAGCAGGACATCCATTTTAAAGAAAATGCCACTCCAAGTGATTCTGAAGTTTATAAAAAAAAACTCTCGATACATCAAATATTTTCTTTATAAATTAGAATTTTTTCAGCCTATTGGTCACAAGTGACTAGTGAATCTAATTTAAGCCAATAGATGGACACTCCATCTTTCCTATTGGTCGAGAGATTTCTTTTTTTGTACATAAGTTTGATGGAAATCCATCAAACTCGAATACTAGTAAAGCTGGAAGCTTGTGGTATCTGTTCAAGTTATAAAGATGTTAATTGAATGAAAGATAATGAAAGAAATTGAATGAGAGAAAAGACAAACTTTGAAAAAATATATGGGGTCGGTTACCAAGTCAGGAATCGAACCTGGATCTCCCTGATAACACATGTCAGGAGCTCTATCACTTAACTGGCTTGAATTAGATTCACTAGTCACTTGTGACAAAATAGGCTGAAAAAATTCTAATTTATATATACTATCGGTCACTGAAAAATAACTCTGAAAATTTTCTTTATATCATTTCGCATTCTTCATCCTACAAGTGGAAAATAAATACAGCGATAAGAAAATGAACTCGATGAAAGAAAAAAATCTTGTATCAAGAACATCATTACAAGATATTAAATATCTTGCAATCAAGCAGAAAAATTCTTGAATCAAGTAAAATTCACTTTAACCCAGAACAATTTTTTAGTTAAATTAAATTTTACTTAGCTAAATAATGTTCTTGATTAAAAATTTTTTCTCTTGAATCAAGTTACTTTTTTTTATCAGCGTATAAAGGAAAATATAAATTTCGGAAAATAATGATCTGGACGAGTTAAAAGTAATGTGAAATTTCAAAGGCTTCGCGTTACGAGGTGTGCAATGCGCAAAAAATATAGATTAAATACATAAGCTTCCATACAATACATAACTAAAATGTTCGTGAGTGAGACGAAGACAGAGTTAGAGAGAGAACGGAGAAGGTCGCCTCAAGGTCTACCACTTTCATCAGCTGATATGCTGACTACCGCGTAGCGTTACATCTCTTTGTTTTCTTTTCTCTATTCCGGTATCTTGCACACATCTGTACACAGACATACATATGCACACTACCGTAGAAAGCCACACAAACTGCTTATTCTACTCCTATAAAACTAGCAAACTAGCAACATAAGTGAGCTGATGGCCTCCGGCTATGATTATGTAGTCAAGAAGACGACCAAATCTGAGAGAGATTTGGTAAAACATTTATAAAAAAAACATCAGTGATTTCCGTTTTATTTATCTGAATGTAAGTGTTTGATATTCCGTGCGAATACAAATGTAATAGAATGTATACGTTGATGTATATATTTATCCTCATGACAGCTCAAAGATCTTTTATTTACTGTAAAGTTTTTAAAACTCGTATTATGTTTCTTACTTTATATATTTTTCCTCGCCGGTTTATATAAAATTCTACTTAGCTCACATTTCCCTTTACTCTCGACGCTTCAACCGAACTTTGATCTAATTACCATTAGCACGCGATCACGATTATATCTTCATCGAATCGTGCCGTGAAAGTTTAAAGGGATGAGAGCGGATAGGAAAGAACGGAGGTGGAGAGAAAAGGTGCCGAGTAAGAGTCAGAGTGACGCGATACCTATACTCGATTGAGATTGAAATACTTGAGCTTTTTCAAGCTTTGCCACCATTAACGTTGTAGTTTAATTTCTCACTTACTTACTTTCTCACCATACTATATTATATACTATTTCCCTGATTTAAGTGTATATTTGGTTCATATTTATACGTACCTCCATATTTAACTAAAACTCTATACAGTGAGGTAGGTGTCAAGACTCAACTGTATTGTATAACACGAGAGCCGGTAGCAACTTTTATATGGTTATTAAGCGTGCACGAAAAACCACGCAAAGTACGAGTAAACCCGGTGGCGTTTCGCGCCAATGCACAACAACGTTTAGGACAAGATTTCATCCGGAAATTGACTTAAAAATACTATAAAAAACATATTAATGTATATTTACTTATACCATACAATTTTTCGAGTAATTTGATGTGTTTTCTTGATTTATTATTTTTGTCGATAACTTTACGGTTCATTTAAAAATCGATAAAAAAAATTAGAAAAACGGTTGACCCTAAAGGCCATCCCTGCAACTTCACGCTAATTTCATATTTAAGCGCTCAAAATTGCACTTACTACGTTTTTGGGCTCTTCGAGCTCAAAAATATATTTTTCGTGTCATTTTGAGCTCTCCGAGCTCAAAAATTTGGTAATCGTATATTAAAACACTATTTCTTAAATTTTAAAACCGCAATAACTTTTGAATGAATAAACTGACTTTCACGCGGTTGGTGGCATTCGACGCAGTTTTTCAGACCTCTCGAAGAATCTTTAAGTTTTAATCGATCGAAGTAGGAATTTCGATGTAATTCCGAAAAAACATTTTTTTCTGTTTTTTTTTTTTCGACAACGATAACTCACGAACGCATCAACCGATTTTGACCGAGCTAGCGGCGATCAACGTGGTTTTTTGATGTTAAGAGCTGATTAGTTTTTGGAATTGATCGATAAAGTCGTTTAAAAGTAATTCCAAAAAAACCACATTTGAAAAAAATTTTTTTTGTAGTTTTTTTGAGATTTCTCAAAATCTACCGGTTCGAATCGGTCCAAATTGTATTCAAAATCTAAGTTTGGTCGAGCCCTTTCGAATGGTGCCATTGCACCAACCGCAATGAAATCGGTTGAGCCGTTCAAAAGTTATGAGAGGTTTACATACGGCCACACACACACACATACACACACATACATACATACGGACATCACCGCGGAAACATTCGGGGAGGCTTCCTAGGACCTCAAAACGTCAACATCCGTTGAAAACTCGATTTTCGAAAAATGGGGTAAAACCAATAACTTCCCGATTTTTGAAAATTTTCAATTTTCTTAGCGGGAAGTTAAAAAAATTATTTTCAAACGATTATTATTTTTTAGTATTGATTTGAACATATTTTCCTCTAATAGAGAATTTATGAATTTATGTGAAGCTAAACCATGATACTATCGTAAATCAATTTCCACTTCATTAGAATACTCTAAAGAAATAGGTATTTCATTGAAAATGACTGAAGATGAGCGGTTCATAATTTAAATGTTGTTATAATTTTAAAAAATGCAGAAAAACTAAACAAATGTAGATTAAAATAATGAGTGAATACTTATTTAACGTTACTGGTTATGCATGCTATGTCTTTAGCATATCTCAATCAATATTGCACATGTCTGCAGATAACCTAATAAATAATCTACTATTATTTAAACATGACAAATTTAAGATTTTACTAAGATATTTTCTGTTTTACTTTCTTTTTATAATGACTAGAATTTAATTTTCGCGCGCAAGCGCGCGCGTCATATTTATTGTCATGATATATTTATGTGTCGTTTATGTATATTATATTCACTTTCAACCAATCAGAATGAGAATAAATATTTTCAACCAATCACATTACGAATAAATTGGTTTCACATATATTTCATCTCAATTTTATTATGGGATCTTTTAAAAAAGATTTATTTTTTCGAGTTTTTAGTTCCTCACGTCAACTTATTTTAGATCTCTAAACTAAGTAAATTCAGAGTTTTTGTAAATACTTTATGAAACACAAGATTTCAAGAATATGTTTAAATCTTATATATGTCGTAGTCTTTTCGCAAAATTCGTCATTTCATGAAATACCTAGGCACTTCCAGAAGCGTTGGCGTTTAATGAAAAATATTTAAATTGCATTATCAGCCTAGGTATTTCATGAAATGACCACTTTGTGCCGGCATCTCGTGTTTAAAGCCAAGATACATAATCAGACGCATCCCGAGTCGAAATCTCCAACGTCTCAAACGTGATTTCAACGTTTCCAACTTTACAAATAAATAAAAATATATATAGACATGAAAGACAAAAAATGCATGTAATGTATAGTGTTCTATATAGAACAGTTGGGCTTTTCATGTAATACTTATTATACATTTTGGCACGTTGAATAAAGAAAAAAAAATTAATAACATTAAAAAAAAAGGGAAGAATAAAAGCATATACAGATCAATTTGTAAAAATATATAACGAATATTTTGGAAAACGACCTATACTTCAGTTTACTTAAAAAAGGTAAATATTATACGGTCGTTTGTTAGGTTGTTTTTCATAACATTCGTTATATTTTTCTACAAATAAATCTTTATTCGCTATTATTTCTTCCATTTTTTGATATTATTAATTTTTAACTTCCCGTTAAGAAAATTGAAAATTTAAAAAAATCGGGAAGTTATTGGTTTTACCCATAATATTTAACTTTCTTAAGTAAACTGAAGTATACGGTCATTTTTCTAAAATATTCGTTATATTTTTTTACAAATTAATCAGTATTTGCTTTTATTCTTTTCTTTTTGTTTAATGTTATTAATTTTTTTTTCTGTACTCAACGTGCCAAAATTTATAATAAGTATTACATGAAAAGCCCAACGTTCTATGCGTCTGATTATGTATCGTGGCTTTAAACACGAGATGCCGGCACAAAGTGGTCATTTCATGAAATACCTAGGCTGATAATGCAATTTAAATATTTTTCACTAAACGCTGACGCTTCTGGAAGTGCCTAGGTATTTCATGAAATGACGAATTTTGCGAAAGGACTACGACATATACATTTATTAACTTTAAAACTGTTAGCAACCATGTAGGAACTGCCAGAGTTGAATGACGGGGCCTTGCCTGGCCCAGTACTGGGCAACCAAGCTTGGCGCACTGATATTGGCCCATGCTTGGACCAAAACTGGGTAATCAGCCTTGGCCAACCTAATGATTACCTCAGCCTGAGCCAAGACTGGTTCGCCGTAGAATGGTCGAGGCAAAAGAACCCAGCCTTGGACCAAGACTGGGTAACCAAGCCTTGGCCTAGCCAATGATTACCCGAGCTTGGGCCAGAACTAGGTCGCCCAGCCACGGCCATTCAATAGCGATCTAGACTTGAGCCAGGACTGGAAAATCTAGCCTTGGCCGATTCAATGATTACCCAAGCGTTAGCCAAGACTGGGAAGCCTAACCATGGCCGTTAAATGGCAACCCAGACTTGAGCCAGAATTGGGTAACCTAGTCTTGGCTATTCAATGGGAAATCCAAACTTCAAAATAGAATTTTGAACAGTAAATATATTTATAGTTTAACGAATATTTGTTAGCAGATTTTTACCAAGGTTATCATTTCGGACTTTTACCAAGACTGGGCCAACGCTGGCTTACAAGCCTGGCCTAGAGTTCTGCATAGTTGGGCCAAGCTTGGGCCCGCTATACTTTCCTAAATGAGCATAGCTATATTTTCTGTTTTTGTACAGAATTTTTTGAATAATAATGGAAGATCATTTTATTACAGGTTAATTATTATATCAAATTTACCAACATGTTAGACAATTAAAAAAATACCGGAAGACATAAACAACATGATATGACATTTGAACTAATCTTGGAGTGTTTAGCTAAAACGACCTAGCCGTTTCATGTCTATCTTTTTTCGCAGGTCGTTTTACACCTCGAATGCGTAATTCGGACTACACTCGGACCTCTAAACACGCAGGTAATATTATCCATGAAACCTCGCGTGTAAAGTCATTACGAAATGTTTTTTATTAAATAAAAAAAATAATATAATAGTATTAATGATAATAATAATAATAACACCGGTAGAAGCTAAGACAGAATGTACAAATTGTTAAAACAAAAATACAAATTGAAAATAAAATAACATAATGGAAAAACGATGTTAATATAAAACAGTGAGTATCATGGAAATTAGGATTATGTAATTTGTTTCAAATAAAAGCTTGGTTTATACTATATTTTTTCATTAATTTAATAAATAAATAATTGAAATCAACTAGTATTTTTAAGATTTTTGATTCAATAAAATCAATGATGTCATTATTAAAATTTTTTACGAAAATCAATCAACAAGTTTGAATTTTTATCACAGTTAGAAAGAACAACAATAGTAAATTTTTTTTTATAAAAAACTTTTTTTTTCTGTTGAGTTCTCGAGACGGTTGTCTATTGTTGCGGCGCCAAAAAACATCCGAGAATTTTTTGTGACTAGTTTTAACGAACCGCACAAACCCACTTGACTTTATAGTTCCTTTACTTTGTTTTACTGCTTTGTATCATATATTTTCTTTTCCCGAGAACAATTTATACTTTTTTGTTGCAAAACAAAGGTGAAAATGTGCTAATAAAGTATAAAAAATAAACTTCATCACCCGATACTATTTCAATAAAAAAAATGGGTTTTTGAAAAATTAAAAAACAAAAATGTTTTTAAAATTAAAAAAACCATTAAAGTTTCATGTTCAAATTCAATATTGTTTTCACCAACATTGATTGTATCATTTGCTTGAATTCTCGTACACATTTTTCAGTTTGTTAAGGATATTAGCAGACATATGGTATGCCTATGAAAAAAATCTGGGAAACGCTTGACCCTGCTTGCTAAGTGATCTGGACAGAAATTTCGAAGTTATTAAAATATGTTGTTGTACAAAATCAATGTTGCTTTTTGAGTTTAAGAGCTGATTAGTTATTGGAATTGATCGATACACTAGTTTAAAAGCTAGTCCAGAAAAACATGATTTTGAAAAAACAAAATGATTTTGATGAAAATTATCTCAATAAAATTGACTTTTTTCTATCAATACTGGATAAAGGTGTAACAAAACTGTCCCCGAAAATTTAAATAAATTTCCACCGGAGGCGGAGATACCGGCTGGGTAAAGTTCTTACGCTCGCCCTTTTTGAATAATAATAAAATGAACCTGAAACTCCTCAGGCTGGGTTAGTGCACGAAAAGGACGCCAGGTAATTTTATCTAAAAATCACCAAAATTAATAAAAATGCCAGGGGCCTCGCCGGACGATCAATTAACGATCTAAATTAATGCGAATGGAAAATAAATCACGAAACACTTACAGTCAGGATTAATATATAATTTATAATCAGAAATAATAAGTACCTAATTATAAATAGTACCTCAAATTATTTAATTAAATAGGAATGTAAATCGCAGGAAAAGATTCCGGGAATTAACTTACATAAAATAAATTATTATTAAATCGGTAAATATTAATAAAAATAAATTATTTATTTATAAACGTTGTTACTTAAAACTAAATATCCTTTCTAAGTAACAAAATAAATCCTTTATGGAATTCTGATTAATACATACAACTTTTTCTTTAACTTAATTTATAATATTGCGTTCGAGAATAATAATAGTCGCAATGAAAACAATAATTATAATAATGATTAAAACTCAATACTATTCAATTTGTTCTGCGCTCGAAAATAGCACTTGCACTAATAATGAATATTTAACATTAATAATTGTAAATAACACTAAGCAATAACTGCTTTGATAACTAACGTCATTCGTAAATCAAACTAAAAATAATAATCGCAATAATGAACTATGACGTAATGTCTTAATTAAAAATTGCTGGCCGTATCGAGGACCCAACACGCGGCTTTCAGGACAGGTACAAATATTCCCAATAATAACCCTTACTCGCTACGGGATCGACCCGATTAATCGATAGTGAATTCAATTAAACAATAAAAATGAATTATCTAAGCCA